CGGGCACTTTAGGTGCAAAAGGAGGAAGTGCCGCAGGAAAGTGGGTTTTTATGGCGGCTCATTTTTCAAACACTCAAATATGAGTTTAAAAAATGTCTTCTGCGTATCTTCGTATTCGGCCAAACACAAAAGGCTCACATAAAAAGATATAGCAGCGGAAATGTTTCGTGAAACGGGAAGCAAACTAGGCTCTCACACTTTATTACATGAATCATTTCGAAAATATTGCACGGAACGCTTCCTGAGGATTCCTTTAAAGATCGTGAGCGCTGATAAGGTAGTGGAGATCGACGAGACGTTCTTTATCAGGAGAAAGTACAATAGAGGTAGGGTTATAGAGAAGCAGTGGTTTTTAGGGGCATTGAGTGGGGGACCAATAAATGCTTCGTCTTTTTAGCAGAGCGACGAGATAGTGCTACCCTTCTGCCACTGATCAGACAGTATGTTGTTTCAGAAACAATTATAGTAGTTAACTAGTGGGCTGCATACAGTACCATCAAGGTGATGCCAGAGGGCTACCAGCATAAGACTGTCAACCAGAGTTTACACTTCAATGATTCTGAGGCCGGTGCTTACACAAAATTTAAGGAGGAGCATAAGTCGCGGTATGGGACGGAAAGGGCACTACTGAATCTGTATGGAGAAAAATGTGTGGGTTGCAATGCGCTGTATCACTTCTGGTCTTAAATAGCGGAACACTATTTACCACTTCAGGTTCCGTTTGAAAATGTGGGCTTTACCCATCGGCCCCTGATCCGTTTGCCTTATGACAGTCCAATTTTTGGAAAGACTCTTGTATGAGGGACGCTAATGTAGCTTTCCTGAGAGAGAAGCGAAATTCGAGCATAAACTACATCAACATTAGTGTAAATGCTTAGCTACACGCAAAACTATCTTCTTTATCCTTGACTGGAACGAACTGCCAACCTCTACTTGAAGTGCTGCATCACTTACCACTGTACCTCACACCACTCGGTTTATTTGCGGCTCCACAAACCGTTTTACACTCCTCAGCAACCTCTCCCCATTGATGCTACAACGAAAGGTCAAACCTGTTCATAATATCTCATTATTGCCACCATGGCTTACCTCGAACTTAGGTAATTAAACATTTTTGACACTGCTGTCTTGACGTCATCGTCTCGTTTACCTCATACTGTTGTCCCACGTTACTCAACAACTTATTGTTACAAAACGTGAAACCCGTCTATAATGTCTCACAACCGATTGTAAGTTTCTTTTAAAGCCTCTCCTCAAATATGTATGTGGGGCCGTCAGTCGGTAAGAGCTGCGTTATCAGAAATTACGGACGGGTTTTACCTTTTGTAGCAGCAGGAAGGTAGAGAAATTGATGAGATACAACTCGCTCTGTTTGGTGCATCGTGTAGCGTTATGTGATGTGCGACATCAGTTAGAGGTTGGTGGTTTGTGTCTGTACTGGATGGAGGTAACTTTTGCGCATCTTTTGCGCGTTTTAAAACACCAGTTTCTGCTTTATTCTCAAAACCAAAAAGGAAATCTTGATTAGTGCTCCTCAAACGAAGAGTCTTCCAAAA